GGAAGGGACCTTGGATTATTGTCTCCAGGGTCACATTCACTAGCCAGAATACTCCCAATCCAACCATCTAGATGCCCCTCTTCTGAGAGTTTGGGGGGGGCTGTTGCCAGGGGTTGCTGCCTGCTGCTTCCGCCCCTCCAGAACAATTTTCAGGCTGACGTTTCTGTGGAACTGACTCGGTTGGCAAGGCAGTTTTAAAGCTGTGGAAGCCAACAGCCCAAAGCAAAAATGCAACCCACAAATTGTCTATATTTAGCATGAAATGAAATTTGATTCCTAAGGGTCTTATCACCCCCCTCCCCGCACAGTGCAACGGACTGATAATCGCTCCTTCTCACCCCACTTTCTATCCTAACAAGTTACACCTGGGTTGAAATCACAAAGCCCAGCCAACCTCTAAACCTTGCTCAATAGTAGCAACTGTGAGAGGGATCTCGGAGTCCTAGTGGACAATCACTTAAACAGGAGCCAGCCGTGTGCTGCAGCTGCCAAAAAGCCAACACAGTCTTCCAATATCTCAGGGGCTGCCCCAAAGAAGAGGCAGTCAAGCTATTCTCTGAAGCACCTTGAAGGCAGGACAAGAAGCAACAGATGGAAACTAATCGAAGAGAGAAGCAACCTAGAACTAAGGAGAAACATCCTGACAGTGAGAACAATTAACCAGTGGAATTACCTGCCTCCAGAACCGGTGAATGATCCAACACTGGAAGTTTTTAAGAAGAGACTGGACAGCCATTTGTCTGTAATGGTATCGGGTTTCCTGCCTGAGCAAGGGGTTGGACTAGATGACCTCCAAGGTCCATTCCAACATCATCATCATCATCATCAACAACAACAACAACATCATTATTATTATTATTAGTCCTAACTATCCCTTGAAGTCTGTCCCTGTCCTGTTTAGTTGCTGCACCAAACTGCACAGTTACAGAAATACAGTAGTGGCCAAAATTGTGGAAACCTTTTGGAAAAATTGTACAGTAGAAATGCCACCTTTGGTTAAGTTTCCACCCATTTTTCTTCTAATGTCTTTATAACTGTAGCCTTGTTCACTTAATAAAGACTATTTTACATCGCTTTCTGGGTGACCAGTCAACTCTTTGCACCATGACTTTCATTTTATTATGTTTCACAAGCTCACGAAATGAAAGAACACAAAAAAACCCAATTAACTTGATAGCGATCATATAACACTGACAAATGTCCTCTCAGCTTCAATACACAATATCAATAACTGAATCCTATTGTAATCTGATTGACTCATTGCCAAAACAAGATGACACCTGATTGGCTTTCTAAACACTCACGCTCATTGACTACAATCAGAGGAAGGAAAGCTACCTGATATCAACCTAAGCAAGTTGTGCTTCCTTTTTCTGGTTATTTGGCTTTTCATAGAATACAGTACAGATAATTGAACAAATTTTGTCGCATTACCTTCCTGATTAAATTATCTTTCCATTGATATATAATTTTATGGTACTACTCCAAAAAAACAAAAGGGGTGTTATTAGCCATCCAACCTGAAAAATACACTTTCCCCAAAAGTTTTCCACAATTTGGGCCACTGCTGTACAAATGGCAGATCCAATAACTCCCCTGCAAAACAGTATCAGCAGCTCCCGAGGCAGTCCGAATTTCCTGAGTGGACGCAGGAAGACCATTCTTTGTTGCAAAAGGACAAAGAGAGTTTTCATTGGCAAAGCAGAAATCAAAGTTCACACATCTTAAACAAACACTGCTGTAAAGCGTATGCTAAGCACGTATCTTTTCCTGCCCATTTTCCTGGTACGACAAGGCAGGCGATATTTGAGAGAGCTAAAGGGCCCAGCCAACGACTTCATTTAACGTGAACAAAACTGGCTTACCGTATTCAGAAGTGCTTGCAAAACGATGGCGCTTCCTCGGAGCAACTGGCTTGAATGTGGCATCTGATACTTAGGGCACGGTTCCAGAGTTAGGCAAACAGCAACTTGGAACGGATTGGTGCTTTGCTCGTTTCTGAGAAATCACACGAAGCTGCAGAAAACAGAAAATGAAAGTGTAGGGTGGCCCTGTAGAAACACCCACAGATGCCCACACCTACAGGTTTACTGGGGGGGGGGGGCAGGCGGGCAAATTCTTAGCTACAGCCTATTCAGCAACTTTTAAAGTGAAGTAAAAAAAAAAAAGCTTGAGATAATAACAACAACAACAACAACAACAACAACAACAACAACAACAACAATAATAATAATAATAATAATAATAATAATAATAATAATAATAATAATAGTAAAGTTGGAAGGGACCTTGAAGGTCATCTAGTCCAACCCCCTGCTCAGGCAGGAAACCCTATACCATTTCGGACAAATGGTTGTCCAAGAAATGAAATGGTCAGAGCAAATATTGTTCAGTGTAGCTTACCTGAAACATAAGACTTTATGATATCTGCCAACCGAGAAAGATTGGTGACCTCTGATCTAGAACATAGGTAATTGATGGAATCCCCTTGATGGCTCCTCCAGACCCATCTCCCTGGACTATTAGCTAAGAGATGACTTGTTCATTCCACTCCATCCCCATTGGTCAAACCCAGGCCTGTCTCCTAGCAATGCAGAAGAACCCACTGATGTTGCCACCTTGGTCTGAACACTAGAGAACAGGATTCTGCGCCATGGACTGCAGCGCAGGATCGAGGCCCCGCTTTGGCTGGCTAATCCAAGCAGTTGTGGTCTTCCTGTCATTGTCGAGGCCATGTGGCTTTGACCTAAAGTGTAAGAGGAGGGCCTGGGAAAGATGAAATAAGGCGTTCCCCGTGACACCCATTGCCAGGACTGACCACCAGGGCTTTTCACAATCATGTCTCTTGCGTTTTGGAACCGTGCTGGCTTTACCAAACGACCTGTTGAAATTTCTTATTTTTCACTGGGAGGTGAATTGTGACAGCCCCCCTGTTCAAAGTAATTGTCAATTTGATGACAGTCCAAAATTGCAAATTTCAGAGCTTATCTGAGAACAAGCCCCACTTGATAAAGTAGTACGTCATACTCCAGTGGTGGCGAACCTATGGCACGGGTGCCAGAGGCGGCACTCAGAGCCCTCTCTGTGGGCACGCGCGCCGTCGCCCCAGTCCTAGGCCTTCAGCTGGGTTTTATGAAACCTTTTCGCTTTAGGCCTCCGCCGCCGTGTGCAAAAAAAAGGTTCAATCAATCAGTCAATTTCAACTTCTCGCGGGAAAAAAAAAGATCTTGCAAAGTTGGAATTGATTGATTGAACTTTTTAGTCCCACCCAGTCTGCCATTACCACCGCAGCCATGCCCACCCAACTGGCCACACCCACCCAACTGGCCACGCCCAGCCAATGGGCCACACCCATCCGGCACTCGACGATGCATAAGTGGGTTTGGGGTTGCAGTTTGGGCACTCGGTCTCTAAAAGGTTCGCCATCACTGTCATACTCCCTTGCTCTTGTTGTTATTAGTGAGGATTGTCAAGGAGACGGTGGAGATGTCCTGTTTTTTAATCTGCAACCGTCACTCCAACAATCTGCAACCTCCTTAGCTGCTCCTATTTTTATGCAATTCCAAAAGGAAAGTTGAAGGGACCCCTCCTGTTCTTTTTTTGTTGTTGTTGTCCAGAAGTGAGGCAATGATCGGTGTTCAAGGAAAGTCCTGCCCTTGGAGACATGTTGTTTCCCGCAGAGAACGTTGACCAACCATCTCCACCACCTAATAATAATAATAATAATAATAATAATAATAATAATAATAATAATAATAATAATAATA